CAATCATCGATCATCGTGATTTAATTTTTTTATTAAAACTTATTAAAATTTATAAAAATTTCCTCACGAAAAAAAAAAAAAAAAATTTTTTTTTTAACCACGGAGACGATCCCTTGTTGAATTCCGATTGAAATTTAAATTTTTTTTTTCTAATCCCACGATAAAATGGCGCGCGCGTTTCGTGATATAAAAAAAAAAACAAAATGGCTCCCTTGCGAATTTCATTACCTTTTTTTTTTGTTTTAGTTTTGAATTTTTTAATAAAAAAAAATCATAGTTTTATTAATTAATTAATTAACTTTTCAACCTTTTTTTTTAATTACTTTTTTTTTATCATTCGACGTGAGTAATAATAATGATAGTGATAATAATAATAATTAAAATAAAACGCGTAAAATAAAAAAAAATAAAATAAAAAATTATAGAAAATCAATTGGAAAATATAATTTCTCCCAAAAAAAAAAGAAGGGAAAAACGTTATCGACACTCTTATTCTCTTAAGCTAATATAAATTATTTGTTCTAGAACTTTCCACTCCAACTGTCACAATCACGATCACTTTTAGAATAATATTTGTTATTATTCGTAGGCGTTTGTTTCAATATCGGCATTAAAAAAAAAGGGGGGAAACGACCAAAAAAAAAATTTTTTTTTTTATTAAAATCGTTTTGTTAAGGTAAATTTATTATTATTATTATTAAACGACGACGACGACGACTATGACGACCATTTAATTCATTATCAATCGTCATAACAATAATATTATCAGCGGGTAGTAATTAAATCATAAATTAACAATGAGGTAAGAGTAAATAAAATGACGGTTTTCAAAGTTCCCCGAAGTGAAATCAAGTTTAAAAAGAGGTCGGGAGGAAAAATAATAAATCAAATTCGTTCGAAATTAATAAAACTCGCCCTCGCGTTACGCCCCTCCCATCCCTCTCCCCTCCTTCTCTCCATTCCTCCCCCGCACTCGGAAAAACAAAAAAAAAATTTGAAATAGTAAAAAAAAAAAAGATATTCGAACATAAATATTTATCGTTCCGGAATTTTGGGTAAAACAATCGAAAACATCAACAATGACGACGATGATGATGATGATAATAATAAATTTTTTTGTTGTTGAATCGTAGCATTCAATGATGGAGAAAATTTTTCGAAATGAAAAAAAGAGAGAGAGAGGGGGAAAATTAACTGCAAAAAAAAAATTTTTTTTTTGTTTGCCACACTATCAAAATTACACTGCGTTCATTTGTTCAATTACCTTGTGAACTTTAAAATTAATGACGTCATCACCTATTGATAACACCATTAATGAAATAAAATTTATTTATTTTGTTTGTACGATTTGATGTGTAGGTTTTTTGGTTTGTAGAAAAAAATGCGTTTGTACAAATGTATATATATATCAAAGGAAAAGAATTCCCGACGGTTTTTCCATCACTGTCTTTTTTATTTATTATCATCATCATCATCATTATTATTTTTTTTATATATAAAGTCATTACATAAATTGATTATTTTTACATCAAAGTGACGTATGTTATTCTCTCTCTGTCTCTCGAAATATATATATATAAATTTGTTCTCGGAAAATAATTTAAAAAAAAAAGGTGTTCAGTAATAAAAAAAGAAAAAAAATTTTCCTGAAGTTTTCATAGAAAAAAATCAATTTTTCCAGTAAAAAAAAAAACAAGTAAAATACGACAACAACCGCAGCGTGGAGAAAATAAATAAAAACCTTCTGCAACAAAATAATAATAATAATAATAATAATAATTGATTTAGAATTCGAAAAGGTAAAAAAAGGAATTTTATTTTGCATGTTTTAAATAATTTTTTTTTTTACTTTTAAAAATATTACTTTAATAATAAAAGTAATAAAAAAAATTCAAATCATTATTATTATTATTATTATCATTATTATTATTATTAAATTTCCGTTTCGTGTTTCGAAACCTTTAAATTAAAATAAATTTTTTATTATTATTATTTATTAATTAAAGAGAATAAATAATTAAATAAAATAATAATAATAATTATTATTACCTCATCATCGAAGGAAATTTTATCGAAATAAATTTTTTTCTAATAATAATAATAATGATAATGATAATGATAGTAATACGTCATCGTTTTCGTGTATTTTTTTTTTTACAACTTGACAATTTTTTTTTTGTCGTCGTCGTAATTGGCGTCTTAGGCGAAGGTTTTGAGATTTTTTTTGCTTTCACGGCAAAAGAATAATGTGTCGAGAAAACAAACAGTAAAAAACTTGTCTGTTTGTTTGTTTGTTTGTTGCACGCGACATATTTTTGTGTTTTTGATAAACCTACAAAAAAAAACCAATTTTCTAAAAGAAATTGAAATAAAATCAAATTTATATTCGACACCGTAAGAAAAAAAAAAAAAACGCGCGTGTTGAAAACATGTCGTCTGATATAAAATTCTACGTGACAAATGTTTACTCGTTATTATCCCGAAAATATTTTAATATATATATTATATACTATTATAATATACATATATATTATATACTAACGTAACTACTTAGTAAAAATAAAATTTTTTAGTATATTAAATTTTCAGTTTCGAAATTTTTCCAAATAATCAAAATTTATTTAATTTTCAAAATAAATTTTTTTTTTAAATTTCCTTATTATTATCAATATCATTATCATTATTATTATCAATTCGGAAAAGTTTTTGATAAAATTCCAGGAATTTATTACGATTTACTGTCATAGAAAAAGTATCACCTGAACGAGTTTAAAAAAAAAATCTTTATATGTTTTTTTGATTATATTTAATTGTCCTCCGCCATTTTGATGACGTCAATATTATTATTTTACAATAAAATTTATTTCCGTAATTATATTATTCAAAATCATTTCAAAAAAAATTTTCTTTTGTTCGTTGTAGAAAGTGTTTGTCGTTTTCGTTTATACCATCGTTCTTTCATTCATTCAATCATTCATTCAATTTTTACTTAATTTTATAATTTAAATCGTTGAATCGTTTTTAATTGCCATATCCGGTTCGTCGATTGTAAAAAAAAATTTTATTTTCAAGTGATTAAATTCGAAAATGATCTTTTATCAAATTTTCATATATATATATATATATATATATATATATATATATATATATATATATTGACGTAATTGATTTATTCATTTATTCTAATTACACTATCGATAGCAAAAGCACCCCCCTTCCCTACCCTCTCCCGCGCACACACGCGGGGGGCGCACACACGCGCTGGGGGGGAGTGTAAATGGCTAAAAGAGAAATTCAATTTTAGTAAATTTTCCGGATTTAAATTTAATAATTAATTATTTTATGACAATTTGTGATTTAAACCATTTCCGCCTAGGGTTTCGCCGACACCTAGTAGAATTTCGATTCGAGATTTTTCACTAATTACCCGAGGCTACAACCGTTTATTATTATTATTATTATTATTATTGTTTTTAATTTTAATAATGGAAAATTTTTCGTGTCCAATTTTCCCGACGTTTAACGACGTTGTTTTCAGTTTTTTTTTTTTTTCTTTTACATTCTAGAAAATAATTTTAAAATTGTTTTTTAAAAAACGATTGTGACCCACAATGATCGTTTCCGGTGTTTTATCACTATGACCGTTTTTATTTTCCGCATTCTGGAAAATTCGATTTACGTATTCTGAATATTACGATTAATTCTCACCTTTTTGTTTTTTTTTTTTTTTTAATATTTCTGAGGATGATATCCGGTTTGTAGGCTCTTAAAATTTCCCTCGATTTGTTTATTATTGATAAATAAGCAACCCTTTTTAGTTAATTAATTATTATTATTATTATTATTATTATTATTAAAAATTACGTAATTATTATTGGAAAAATCAATTTCAGTAATAAAATCATATTTCCTTTTCTCTTTTCCCCCCAACAAAAAAATAAATAAATAAATAAAAGAATCAAACTAGAATCTCGCGATAAAACAATTTTATTGCCCCCCTTCCACCCCCCAATACGAAAAA